TTTTTTAGTTTTTCGAGACAGGGTTTCTCTGTGTAGCTTTGCGCCTTTCCTGGAACTCACTTTGGAGACCAGGCTGGCCTCGAACTCACGGAGATCCGCCTGCCTCTGCCTCCCGAGTGCTGGGATTAAAGGCGTGCGCCACCACCGCCCGGCATGATAATTGTTCTTATTGTATATAGTTTTATTATGTTAGAGTTAAAACTTTTCTTTTTATTTAGACAAAAAGGGGGAAATGTTGTGGAATAATCTTTTTGTACATTCTGAAGAAATGTCATTCATATTAGTTTGATAAAAAGCTAAACAAGCAGGGTGGTAGTGGTGTATTGAGAGATGCTGGTAGCAGAAGACCTTGGGAGTATACAGCAGGTGACAACTAGTGTTCAGAAGGTCAACCTATCAGAACTAAGGGTTCTGTTAGAGGAAACCATCACGCAAGGTGTTACAGAATTACTGGCTTTTGAATGAACTGGCTGTTTCTTGTTGTAAACTTCTTTTGCAACAACAGCTCTGATTCTCCCCATTTACCATGCATTTCAATGTTATGTGTATATGTAATCTCACGATTGCATCTCAATCTTATGAGCACACATAATTGTGGATAGTCTAGAAGATGGTTTCTTATTTAACGGTACAATATTTATGAATGGAAACATACTAAAATATGCTTCACACTAGATCTACTGTTCCAAGTGGACTGTAGACATTTAGAGGTCTTATTCTCCATCCTTAGCCACTAACAAGACAAAATTGGCTAGACAACATGTCCTCAGAACTTTCACTGAGCTCAATTACAGGTACATGACTTTGTTGAATCAAAACCCATCAGAAGAATTATAGTGAACTAGGAGTGATAGTGCAGGTGTCTGGCCTTGGTATATCCTAGCCCTTCAAGAGATCAACAGCACCTATGCTGCCCTAAGCTTCCTCCACCAGCACCTCCTACTATGATTCAAGTAACAATTAGCACTTTGTATTTATTTCTACACCAGTTTTTAATGCAAGACTTTAGGCTCAGTATACTAATTACGTATAGGTCCTGAGATTTAGGTGACTAACAGAAAAAGGCTGTTAACTGACTAACCGTGTCTGGATATTATTAATCATATAAAATAGCACACATATTCTTTGCCTTTTCCTTCCATCTCTCATTGGTTTGATTTCTTCCCTTGTAATCCGTGTAGCTGTCCCTTTAAGAGATGGCCAGAACTTTACAACCTGCAGCCATTGTCAGTCACCAATTGAGCTGACTAAGTCTGTGCCAGGTGTGACTCTTCTCAGAATACTTGTCCCTGAGAGTTTACTTTGTAGTTTTTACTAACAAGTTGTTAATGAATGGATAGATATATGCTTGGGAAGAACAAAGAGGAGAATGAAGATGAGGAAGAACTAAGATAAACAATGAGAAAACAGCAGAAGGGACAGAGAGGAGCTAAGTATGAGAACAGAAAAGAAGCTGTGTAGACAGAATTGACTGAGAAGAATAAAGCGAATGGACTAAAGAACTCTGTGTGCTTAGAGTCATTGGATATCCCTTAGATCAGAATCCTAGCTTCTTGTAGCTTCTGTTCTGGACCCTGGTAGAAATCGCCCCAAGGCAGGAACCTGTGGAGAGTTCAATAGTGGTGCACACCTTTAATCCCAGCACTCAGGAGGCAGAGGCAGGTGAATTTCTGTGAGTTCGAGGCCAGCCTGGTCTACAGAACAAGTTCCAGGACAGGCTCCAAAGCTACACAGAGAAACCCTGTCTTGACAAACAAAGAAAACAAAACAAAAGCACTAAATGGTCAATAGCTAGACAGGATTTTGGGGGCAGAGAGAATGCTGGGAAGAGGAAGGGCAGAGTTGCCAGGAGATGCTGAGAGAAGCAAGATGAATATGCCATACTGAGGAAGGGTACTGAACCACATGGGTAGAAAATAAATATGGGTTAATTTAAGGTATGGAGATAGTTTGAAATAAACCTAAGATATTGGCCAAGCATTGATAATTAATGATAAGTCCCTTTGTGATTATTTGGGTGTAACATGATTTTTTTTTTTTTTTTTGGTTTTTCGAGGCAGGGTTTCTCTGTGTAGCTTTGCGACTTTCCTGGAACTCAATTGGTAGCCCAGGCTGGCCTCAAACTCACAGAGATCCACCTGACAATGCCTCCCGAGTGCTGCAATTAAAGGTGTGCACCACCACCGCCCATAACACGAATCTTAAAAGTTCTTATTAATAGAAAACCTGGAGCCAGAAACTGGGGTAAAAGCTGAAAGATCAGAGAAGCAGAACAAGCCAACCACAAATTCTTATCTCTACAAAATCCTCAGTCTAAAGAGAGTGAGTTCCTGTTTCCTCACACCTTATGTACCTTTCTGTGTCCTGCCATATTACTTCCTGGGATTAAAGGCGTGTGTCACCACTGCCTGGTTCTGTTTCTCTCATGTAGCTCAGTGTGGCCTTGAACTCACAGAGATCCAAGAGGACTAGCTGAGATGATCCAGCCTGACAGACTACTCAAACAAGGACTTGAAACTAGCCCTGAACTTTCCTATTATGCAGAGACTGGACAAATGATACAGGACTTGACGATTAACCCAGAAATTTTCTTTTCAAGAGTCCCTAAAGATATTTTCACCCCCAGAAAGCAAAAAGAAAAAGAGAATATAGATATGAGATAGATCATCGAATCTACTCTGAGA